TCTATCCGAGGTAATATAATTCAGGTTAATTGCAACTACTTCCTAAATTATCATATGTTGATAGGATTATTATATAATTATGAATGGCTACAAAAAAAAAAAGAAAAACAAAGCAATCTATACTGCTGTCAGTGCTTAATGTGCACCATCATGGTGATAACAGCTTTCTGTAAATTGCAGTTTCTCTTTGTGGTGGTTTAATCACAGATTTAATCACTTTCTTCCAGCGTACCCTCAGCTGTTATGACAGTTACTCTTTCTGATTTTCCAGACATGTAATCTCTAACCATTCATTTTTGAGGGTTCAGGTTCATCTTCTGGTCTTTGCTGCTGATTGAAGGATATTTAGAAATATATCTCTCTTTTTTTTTTTCCTTTGAAAAGATCATAAAAGTGGTATTTAAGCTGTTGTAAGGGTAGGCAAAATGTATTTTCTGGTATCTTTTAGTCAGAGGAGAGCTGTATGTCTTCTTGTGCATGGGATTTTTCTAGCTTTATTAAGTCTTTAAAATGACTTGTAATTTTACCCGCAGAATTTGAGGTTTGTGTCTGGCTTATCACTGCCATCTGTGCTTTTCCTCCAGGTTATATTTTGCAGTACTCGGAGGATAACAGTGAGCAGTGGGGTAGTTTTCCCATCAGCCCTAGTGAGAGGTCCTACCGTTTAGAAACGCTGAAATGTGGCACCTGGTACAAGTTTACTCTAACTGCTCAGAACGGAGTGGGGCCAGGACGTATCAGCGAGATCATTGAGGCCAAAACACTTGGAAAAGGTATGTTGATTTCCATCCCTTTTGCTTGTTTAAAGTTGTTGCATTCTCCTGTGGATCTTGGTTTGATGAGAAGACAGGCTCAGGTATTTTAATATTATTGGCTTTGGAAACATTTCCAGTTGTGTCCATGCCGCAACAGAAGAGACTGTCACTGCAGGACCTGAAAAATGTACCAGCTGACATTCCTTCCTTGGGAAGAGGGTGTGTCTACTATCATAGGCTATAGCAATTCCAGCTACTGCTATTGCCATAAGGAGATTGTTTCCTCTCCTGTTGTAAAAATTCAGGATTTTGTTTGTCTGCATGTTGATGAAAGATAAGGAGTATATTTATGTTTAGAGAAAATGGAGCCAATGTCTTATTTCTGCCCCAAGCTGATATTGCAGGAGCTGTACAAGTAGCACTCTTTGAAAAGAATAAGTGTCAAAAATAAAGGAAAAGTTTGCTTAAAGCTCTGCAAGGACAAACAGTGAACATTTGTGGAATTCTTAGCTAATTCGGCAATGGGTTCTATGGTCCCAGTTGCTGAGGGTAGTTCCACATTGCCAGTATGTATCTGAATTATGAGCAGATTTTGCAACAGACCTACTTAAAGAGACACTTTAGAAAGTCTTACCCCTAAGATGGGTGTCGGTCTCTTCTCCCAAGTAACAAGTGATAGGACAAGAGGAAGTGGTCTCAAGTTGTGCCAGGGGAGGTTTAGATTGGATAGTAGGAAAAATTTCTTCACCGAAAGGGTTGTCAAGCTTTGGAACAGGCTGCCCAGGGAAGTGGTTGAGTCGCCATCCCTGGGAGTATTTAAAACGTGTGTAGATGCCATCCTTAGGGACATAGTTTAGTGGTGGACTTGGCAGTGCTACGTTAATGGTTGGACTAGATGATCTTAAAGGTCATTTCCAACCTAAACAATCCTGTGATTCTATGATTCTAAGTCAACAGAGTGGAATAGCTTTGCATAATGTTCGGAAGATCACTTCATCTTGCATCTCTTCACCGATTGTAAGCAATACTCTGATTTTGGAGCAATTTCATAATAAAGATAGTTTACTGTGATAGGTACATCTGCCCTTCTTTATGCTATTCATCACACCTGTGCTGTTGCAAATCTCCCAAGCCTCATAGCAAGGTGGACATGTCATTTGACACCCAGTGGCATAGGGAAGAGCTGGTATATAGTAGACGTGATTAGTATGACTTGCTGAAGCTCAGGGGAGACTGCAGATCAGCTGTGTACATGTTGAGATTATCAGTAGTCAGGGAGAATGATTTACTGACTTTAAAGAAAGGGACATTTAGAGAAGTGGAAAATGAGTGTTCTGGTTTTCTTTGCATGAAGTGTAAGATTTACAGATGCTTTAGGTAACAGCGAATGGTTCATGAGAAAGCAGATCTCCCAACCTTTGGAGTTTCTCTGGGACTTGATATACATGCCAGGAAACTACCTGTGTTACGTTTACTGACTGAACCAGACACTGTGTGATTTAGAATGCCTAGATCATTCTCATTCATATGAGAGCTCCAGAAGCATCTCTGTCCAAAGCTATTAACAGAGCCAGTTGAAATAATTCATAATACATGGCAGGAATCACCAGTTTCTTTTAGATTCCTGTAGAATTTAGAAAAGAGAGTACATTTCAGTATATCTTGTCAAGGCACAAGAATGGCAAAAAGACTCTCATAGGATAAGTTATCCTTTATTATATAGAATAAAAAAGCACATTATAGATAACTTTCATCACATTAGGTGAAACTTCCAATAGTAAAAATATTTTGTTTCTGCTAAGCAAATAGCAATAATACTTTTAAGTGCTCTACAGTAATATTTAATATAAATAACATTTATTGATGACCTGTCTTGCCCACCTATTGTCATTGTTTCAATTCTAAGTTGCCATTTTTAGTTACTACTCCTGAATTATGCAGAACTGACAAAAAAACTTTAATGTATATATCAACAGAAACCAACATTTGATCCCAAAGCAGGACAAGTAAATAGAAATGTCATCCTCTTTCTGAATGGAGACATCTTGACTCCTAAATGCAAATTTCAAAGTATATATTGTTTTCAAATGTATTGTATGCCATGTCAAGGTAGTAATATTTTTTTAGAAAAATGATTTTTACTAGCAAGTTCTTCAAAATTGTTATTTTCTGCAAATGAATGCCTCTGTACTCTCAAACAAAATTGTGTTCAATTCCACTTCAAAAGAAGACTAGAGCAGCAGTGGACAATCTTCAAGTGTATTTGTCTTCTGTTGTATTTCTACATGGTGTTCTGAACTCTTTCTTTTTTGCATAGTAGTGGGCAGAAGCATTTACTGATATGAAGTGTCTGCACGAGATTTACAAGTTGTCTCATACCAGTCCATGCAAACCAGCAACTCAGGCCCATGCAGAGATGTATGGATATTTATTTCACATATGGATTTAAAAATCTACGTTTGTGAGTCTGGCACAAAGTGTGAAAAAAACATTTAAGAGATGGCAGGGAAAAGTCGAATATAAAAACATTAAGTTTAAGATGAAGTTATGATTGTCCTAGAAATTATTCGCTTGATTTTTTATTTTTGGGGTGCTGTATCTGTAATACTTAAGCATTTCACTTGAAATATATCGTTGCATCTAGAGCCACAGTTTTCGAAGGAACAGGAACTCTTTGCTAGTATCAACACCACGAGAGTGAGGCTGAACCTGATAGGCTGGAATGACGGTGGCTGCCCCATCACCTCCTTCACCCTGGAGTACCGGCCATTTGGGACAACAGTCTGGACAACCGCTCAGCGGACATCCCTGTCAAAGTCCTACATTCTGTATGACCTCCAGGAAGCAACCTGGTATGAACTGCAAATGAGAGTATGCAACAGCGCTGGCTGTGCAGAGAAACAAGCCAAATTTGCAACACTCAATTATGATGGCAGTAAGTATATCTTTTTATTTCCAGGTCTGAGATACTGTTTTTACTCTAGTTTCTTATGTGATTTTTTTGCTTGTCTGTCTTTCTTTTTTCCCCCATAAAACCCTTTTTGAATCTGCTAGCCATGCTGACAGAGGGGTAACAGTCTCCAAGACATAAAATGCCTACTGATTACATGACGATGGGCTGCCAGGCAGAAAATAGGAATTGTTTATTTGTCCTCACTGAGGAAAAGCTCTAGCACCAAAGTCAATCAACCATGAGATACGTAACCATAGGACACTAGATGTCATTAGTTCCAGTGGTCACAGAAGCACTTGCTAGTATTTCATGCATCTCTTCCATGAAATTTTTGTCTCACATACAATTGGTTCCTGCATCCATTCACAGCAATGACTGGCCTTGTTGCTATTCCATGCAATGTCCTTGTGACATAGCTCAAAACCTATTATATGACACAACAGAGCAGCTAACTAGCTTGTCTTCAGGGAAAGCCTCCAGACGACATCCTCCAAGGGCAAAGCAATGACGGTGCTATTATCCCTATTTACAGAAAGGGCAGAGTGAAACTAACGGCCATGACAGATGGCTCTGTCATGCCCAGAAGCAGGGCACAGAGGATGAAGGAATTGTTGTATCCTGCCCTTCTGCCAGGGGTTACTGCCCACCCTGCAAAAGCCAGAACAGGAGGTCAAGAGCAAACTTGCCAATTTGTCAGTCACTCCAGCTCATATCCTGGCATGTTTATTGAAAGTGATGGTGGCACATGTGTGCTTCTGCTGGCTCTACAGTGGGAAATGGCTGCATTTCTGGCAAGAAGGCAGTACAGATGGCTCCAGATGGCAATCTTTTGAATTGCTCTAGTGTGAATTGTCAGAGCTTTTCCGGAGACATCCAGTGTAAAATTATGTTCTGTTGCCAGGGATATTGTGCTGTATTGTGCAACCACTTGGCGACATATGTACTGTTAAATTAGACAACAGGACTAGTGAGCAAGTTCAAACAAAAACTGATAACTGTCCAGCAACAGCACCAAATTGCTAATCATTCATAACTCTGTGTTGGTAACGCATGTCCTTGCCACAGTTTTGTCCCACTCAAACTAGCACTCTCCAGGATACTGGAGAGTATACTCATGTATGGCTCAGGGAAGAGCAAGCAATAGGGATAATTCCCAGTAAGAAGTGTGGGATATGAATCAGGCAGGGTTTAAACCTCAGCATTTTACATGTCCTCTAATGCTATCCCAGTCTTTGCGCTAGGTACTCATCAGTTCTTGCAGATAATTAACAACACATGCCCTTATGGCTCATCCATTTGCAAAGCACATTCCCTCATGGTTTTGTTAGAAAATATCATTTTGGTAAACTGCCACACAGTCCTCATGTTACTTCAGACAGTCTAAAAAATGAAGAGGAAGATTTTGCCTCAGCACTTTAGGGCCTACAGGAAACCAAGATCTAAGTAGTTACTTAGTTAGTTACTAAGTTAGTTACTAAGTGCACAAACACTGCCGGGTCTTGCCAGGTAGACTTAGCACTTGTTTTTACCTGTTATTTATTTACTTGTCAATAATAACTGTTTCAAGCATTGTGAGTTAATTTCTTGCCATTTCACTTAGCCCATCCTCTTTTCTTTCCAGTATTTTTCTACAGATAGCATCCAACTCTCAGTGATCTTTTTTTTTTTTCACATCCACAGTTATTGTAACATACATATGGCTGGGGCAAACAGTCTTAAGCCATACCTTAAAAAGAGATGACATGAAAATGCAGGTCCAGAGCCTTAAACTCCCACTGATAGCAGTGAAATCAAATGTACGCTTACAATGAACTGATTTGAAGTGTTGTCAGACTCTGCTTTTTGGTTAGGTGATGGTGCTTACCTTGGTTTCACATACTGTGACCTGCATGCCATTTGATTTTGTGTATTGCTGTATGACATCTTTAAAAGTGAGAAATGAAACAGTAAAATATTTGTAGCATTAAATTTTCTGGGCCGCTGCTAGTGGTCAGCTAGAAAATTTTTCATTTATTGCATTGATGGTTTTGTTTGCAAGCATGCTTTACTGGGATTCTGTTGCACCTTAGAGAGGCAACATGATCTCAAATACTGACCCCAAGGTTGAGAAATAAAAACATGACTGGAAAAGCAAATTTCAGTTTTCAGCTTTTCTGAATTTGTTACATTTGATGCAAAACTAAAATGATAAGTTGGTTACTATTATTATCATTAATGAGAATTAACATAGTCTGTTCCTACATAGGCATTTCATAGAAGAACTATTTCAGTGCTTCTGAAGCAAAACTTGTCCCTACAGAGTCCAAGCTCCCCATTCATTTGTTCCTTGGGAAGCTGCATAGGCTTAAGGCACTTCAGAGTTGGAAACTGGAGGTTGATTAGAAATCAACATTTTCTATCAATGCTTCAAGCAGAAATTTTTGCTTTCATAGAGAGTGAATTTTTCATTTACAGAAAGCGTGCCAGTGGAAACTTTTTGGCCAGCGCTGCTTTTGAGTGCTAACCCTACCTCTACCATTGATTCATCTTGTGATGTGAGATTAGTGCCTTCCAGCTTCCAGGGGTCACAGCTGACCTTAGGATAAAACAGATACAGGACAGTACTTTGAAGATTAGATAATACTGTATGAAAGTTCTAGGATACCAAATGCTAAGAACAAGCTTAGGAGCTTTAGCAGTCTTAAGATAAAGCCTTTGTAAACTTTGTAGAAATCCTTGAGTTCTGTGGTCTTTCAGTCATTTTGTTTGGACTGCAGTAGCTGGTTGTTATCTGTGATAGAGCTCCTGAGAAATATCATGGCTAAGTATCCTTTACCTTAAATCTCTTCATGGTGAATTAGGTCAAAAGGTTAATGACAGATCTACGTGCGACTTTTTGCTTTCCGTTCATAGATATTTCAGCTAACCATTTTCAGCTTACAGATTTTATGACCTTCCCGCACCTTGTTTTTCAGAACATTTGCGCTCAGTACTTAAGGAGATATTTTTAGCAATGTGCAGCTGTAGTATGTGGTGCTGCAAAGCAGCTTCCTGACTCAGAGATCAGCTACTCAGTAGCCCTGACATTAAATCAGATCAGCTTGGTAGCTGCTCTAAACTACGCTAATTGGTTCTAGCCCACCAGGGGACTTCCTACCGTGAAGTACAGTTAGGACACAGGAAAACACTTTGGAATCCTGAAGTCACAAAGTGCAATGGGAGATTCGGGAAGGGCTGCAACATAGGGGAAAATAAAGTCAGAGACATTCAAATTACAAGTTCTATGAAGCACCAATAAAGCAGGCTAACCAAGAGCGATGGTGAATTGACCTGGAAAAAAACCAACCCTCCCAATTTGCCTGGGACTTCGTTCTGAGAAAAGCTTTTTGACTGTTGCACACCTAGCCAACACCTAGAATGACAACAAGTGTTGAAATGATATATTCTCAATGGATAGCAGGTTTAGTTTTCAGTAATTTCCAATACAGATGCTGGATATCTACGAATGGATACTGTGAAGGATATAAAGATGACTCGAGGGCTGGAACACCTCTGCTATGAAGACAGGCTGAGAGAGTTGGAGCTGTTCAGCCTGGAGAAGAGAAGGCTCTGGGATCATCTTATAGCAGCCTTCCAGTACTTAAAGGGGGCCTACAGGAAAGCTGGGGAGGGACTTTTTACAAGGGTGTGTAGTGATAGGACAAGGGGAAATGGCTTTAAACTGAAAGAGGGCAGATTTAGATTAGATCTAAGGAAGAAATTTTTCACTCTGAGGGTGGTGAGGCACTGGAACAGGTTGCCCAGAGAAGTTGTGGATGCCCCATCCCTGGAAGTGTTCAAGGCCAGGTTGGATGAGGCTTTGGGCAACCTGGTGTAGTGGAGGGTTTCCCTGCCCATGGCAGGGGGATTGGAACTAGATGATCTTTAAGGTCGCTTCCAACTCTAACCATTCTATGATTCTATGATTCTATATAAATTTGCAGTATGTTTTTTTTTAATTAAGCTTGTACTGCCTGTATATAATGTTATGACGTTTACACTTTACTTGGAAGAGCTATGGAAAATGATAATCACTTACCTAAACACTTAAGATTTAACTAAAATTTAGACCACTTTTCAACTGATTTGTGTCAAAGTATTAAGGAGAGCAAGACGTAATTTTAGATAATATTGAACCCAACATTCCTTAGACAATGGTCTGTGTGACTTTAATTCAGAGCAAAATTTGGACCTTTAGTTTCAGGAGGGTTTAGGAGGAGTTAAAGACAGCTTCAGCATTACCTTCAGGAGCTCAAGGTTCTTTCCATTTCTTCATCTAATCATTTTCTTTGCCTTTAGAGTAGTACAAAGAGCATATCTCAGTTAAGACAAGATGAAAAAAATCCTGCTGTGTGTCTATTCCAAGAAACAGAAAATTAGAAAAAGAAGGAAAACTATGGGGAAGAACTGCAGTGGAACAGTAGAAAAATTTTCAAAATGTGATTGTAAGAAAATAAATTTTCTGAAGTGCTTGATATAGGTTTGGATGGTTGTAGCTTTTTTGTTTATCTCCATCCCTTTGGGGAACTACTCTTCTCATCATATGCAACTCAAATAGCTCTTCTGAAAAAACATGGCTTAGAATTCTATATTTTCATTGTGTTTATAGCACTCACATTGTGGTGCATCGTATCACAATTTTTTTTTTCTGATACTGTATGGTACATAATCAGATATAGCTATCACACAATGCAGCAATTAAAATGTAAAAAAGGATGTGCCTGTTTTTCTATCTCACCCTCTTATCCTTTTAGCAAGTAGGTAGCCACTTTTATGTTTCAGTAGCTGGTTAAAATTTAATAGCTTCCATCGAAAGTCATCACAGTTCACAATACTTGCGTGTTTCTACTAATTTCAAACAAATCTGCATTTTATAGCCTCATCTGTGCTTGCATTCAGCAGCTTAATAGTAATCAGGAAATGAGTGAGAAGCCTTCCATGACTAAACAGCCTTCCAGAGAAAGTGCTGCATTCTTCTCACGTCCTTTAGAAGTAAAGAAAAAAAGAATTGAAAAGTTCAAGTATTATATATCACCAGGAAGCCAGGTATATTCAAAATGCAAATACGTCCCAAAATGAAAAAGTGAGCTGCCTGCTGATGCCAGTAGTTTGTAGATTCATTTCCCTCGTTTCACTCTCAAAATTTGATTGTTTCTATCCAGTGTTACTCTTCTGTTTTACTGATGAGTATACTGTCAGATGCTCTTTAGCAAATTAGCATCAGATCAGCTATCAGAATTTTAGATCGATATCACTGCTACACCCCTTAGACACATGATATAAGAATGTTTCTGTGCAAAGGATTCATCTAATGTATGTAGCACAAAAAGAACTTTGTCAAATACGTTCCTTATAAAGGAAAGCCCAGCAGAGAGTATGAATATGTTCCAACAGTACTATTTTCCCATCGTAAGGAGTAATACAGATAGGTAGTAATTCTGAGATCTCTTACAGCTTTGTAATGATTTAATATGACTTAAAATTAATCATAGTATTTGACTGTGTAATGGGCATGGTTTTCTTTCGTCAATGAATGCACCTCCTAGCGATTTCTGATAATCTGTGTCTCTGCAGTCAGTAGCTTGTTACCAGCGTGACTGGCTATGTGTGCAAAGCCATTACACATGCAAACATAGCATCCACCCTGAACATGACAAGTCCTTCTTAATGTTCTGCATGCAGCCGAAGCATATTACATGCCATATTCCCTGAGAACGCAATCTTTTGTCTTCGTTAATAGGCATCTAATATCATGACACTGTTTCCAGGTACAATCCCTCCACTCATTAAGTCAGTTGTGCAAAGTGAGGAAGGGCTGGCAACCAATGAAGGGCTGAAGATGCTGGTGACCATCTCCTGTATCTTGGTTGGAGTCTTGCTGCTTTTTGTGATGCTGCTCATCGTGCGGAGGAGGAGGAGGGAGCAGAGACTGAAGAGGCTGCGAGGTAAGATGAGAGCTGTGGCACTTATTTCTACCTGCGCATACTCCCAAACGTGAAAGTAGAAGTGGGACTGCACGTCACCAAACTGTTCAATCCCCAGTTGGTGTCATTTTCCTGCAATACATAACAGACATGAGGCAGCAAAGCATATGTGTTTTCTACAGAAATTCCTTCTTTTTCATTTGGTAGTAAGTTTCTAAAAAATTACTCTTGTATCCATTGTTATTATTTTGCATGGGGGAAAGGAAAATAATTCTCATGTGTTGGTGGGTTTTTTTGTTTTCCTTTTTTTTGTTGTTGTTTGTTTCCCTTGTGAATGTTCTTGATAACCTAAAGTTGTAGTTTTTTGTAAGAGTAAAATAAGTTGTTCTGAAGATGGGAGGATTTCAGTTTTCCAGCAGATGCAAACCATGATTCACAAAATTTAAGATGAAAGTAGCCACATGTTAGTAGGCTAGAAAATACAACCAAATTTGTTACCACATCTTTTTCCCTATGATATGTTATAACAGAACTTGGCCCTGTAGATTTTGCACTGGCACACAACACAAGACCATACGCTGAAGGTATTTAGGAAAAAGCATTTCAAATCACAGACAGAATAAACATTAGAGCAATTTGTCATCTGCAAAAATAAGTCTAATCATTTCTGAGAGCTGCCAAATTGTTTAGTTATTTGTATTTTAACCAAAATATGATCATGATATATATTAAAACCAGGGCCAACCTTGTGTATTCCATCTCACCTTAGCATCTACTCGTTTCTCTTTTGGGTCTCATTTTATCTTTTGTAACAATATTTTGAATGTTTTTGCAAAAAAGAAGTACAGAGATACAGGGCTTTTAGGCATGGGCAAATCTGTAGATCAAAGAGGACATCTAGCCTCATGGTTCATACACAGCTCTGGAAATCGGAGCGTCTGGATGCTTTAGCTTGTATAATAACTCTCATTGAAAATCTCTTAAGTCATTTACCTCTGTACAGTTTTTTTCATCAAAAAAGTGGTGGGTTAAGGGTGAAGAAAGTGTTATCTTGTCTTCTCAGAAATACTGTGGAATTCCATCCAGTTAATGAGCAGGACATTTTGAGCTTCTTGGCTCCAGGAAATGATGGCTGTGCACATCTAGTTTTTCGTGGTTAATTTACATGTATTCATAGATTCTTGAGTTACAGTCCCTTAAAGAAGGCTGATGATCACTGCACAGTATGGCTTTTGCATAACATAAGACATCTCTGAATTATTTCCTCCAAGAATACAGGAATTCAGACAAATATCTGATCTTTGCTTGAACATAGGCAGTGACAAAGAATTCATCAGTACTTTTGATAAAAGCCATCACTATTTAACTACCATTTCTGTAAAAGTTGTGTCTCACTTCTTATCTGAATTTGTCAAGCTACAGCTCAACATCCCAGCCATCTGGTCCTGTTATACTTTTGTCTTCTGTACAGAGACTGAAGTTCTTTTTTTGCATCATATTTTCAGTCTCTGAGGATATTCCTTTTACATGGTCGTAACTAAGTAATTTCTTAATGTTTTCATTGGTAAATGAAACAGATGAATCTTCTTTAACTTTTCTCTGTAGTTTTCCCATCATTTATTAATTTCATGGCTTTTATCTGGTCCCTTTACAATCTTTAGGTAGCTTTTCTCATCTGTGTATTCTAGTATTCCAGCAACAGACATATCGACATCAGATAGAGAGGCAATATCCTTTCTTTTCCTTTATGGTTTTCTGCCTTTATCTGCAAGGATCACCTTTTCAGATACAGCATTATTTTAAGAGTTTGTTTTGAACATCTTATCCATTGAGATCATCTGACAATTCTCTGATTACAGTGCAACAGCATAACATCCTCCATTGCATAGCAATGGCTTGTATTCTTGATATATGACTTTATACTAATACAGATACATTACTAACTTGTGGCCAGCCTACCTGATGATCCAGTACATTATGCCTTAGTGACTCGACATTTTCATTATATTTTAGCTACCTAATTCTTGTGTCATTTTCAGACTTTTATCAGATATTATTTCATTTACTCCAGACCACTGAGAAAAGTACCAACAGTGTGATGTCCCATGGTGCATGATTAAATACTAAACAATTATTCTCTGCCTGAAGTTGTATTTTGAATATGCTGAAACCCATTTAAAATGACTGCTGTGTTAATTTTTGCATCATGCTATTTTGCTGTTAAAATATTTTGATGTACCAAACCTTTACTCCAGAGAAATATAGATATAATATTTAATGTTATTTAATTGTAGCTCAGTGAGAGTTTTTTCAACGTCATCAATGATCAGTGAAGTTTAATCTCATTTTAAAAAAATTGACTTTGTTTGACATGGCTGATTGACCACAAGTCTATATTGATTGGCCTCAATTATTCCATCTCCTTTCATTTGTTTAATCAAGATTCATTCCATTTTTTTGTCATATTGCTCATTGCCAAGGTCAGATTGATAGGACTTCAGTAATTCAGATTTTTTTTTTTTGTGCATTCTTTTTGAAGTCTGATCCCGTGTTAGCCATTTTCTGCTCTTCTGGAGGTTACTTCATATTCTAAAAGTCTTACCAAAAATCAGTATTGCTCTTCCAGAGAACTCTGTAGTAAGTTCTCTAAAAAAATCCTGTGTACAAGTTTTTCTGATCTCCTGACTAAAAAAAAATGTTTTACTCTACTAGTTGTTGTGTTCAACTTTCATCTGAATTAGTTTTGGAGTTGAAATCCTGTCGTTATCACTTGGTATGTGTCACCTGGTGGGGTTTCTTTGAGATGTGGGACTCGTTTTTCCTAAATCATGATTCTACCATCGACTTTCCTCTAGTCTACATCAGAAATAGCAGTTTCCACAGTGAGACCTTCTAAAAGAATTTATGCAAGTTCCAAATGTAATTCTTACTTCTGTGACTGCGGGATATGTGTTTTCTTTGAACCTGCTTGAGAAAGAGGAGTGGGAATTGCAGATTTATTTGCAATACATTCTACAATGCAAACAATGGGGTTTTGGTTCCAGTTTCTGGGGGGGCTAATGTAGCATGAGTACAGCAGTGTCTCCACTCTTAATCCTTTTACTCCTTGTTTTACCATGCAGGGACAGGTAAACCTTTGTCTTCCTCCTGGGTCACGCTCAGTATGATTTATTTCTCCAGGAGTACTCTGTTTAGAAAGAAAGCGTAGTTTTCAGGAAAGCCCTAATTTTTGCCCGGTTTAGTGGTTCCACAGGTCAGGTCACAAGAAGGTCAATTGACTGCTGGAATTCATGCAGCCATTCAGTAGGTCAGCATATATTATAACAGAGAAACCTGACGATTTACCACTCTTTCTCCTTACTACTGACCTATCTCCACCTCTACTGTAATAATTTTCCCTTTGTTTTTATATCCAACTCACCTTAAGCCAAGCAGAAAGTATCGGCGCAGCGTGATAGTTCAAAAGGAGCAGCATGCAATTTAAAACTGTACCACGGCCTCTGATTTCCCAGGGGATGAGCCAAATGTGCTCAGAATTTTAAAGACAGCTGCCCCAACAAATGGAAGTGAGGGCTGTCGCTCAGTGGGTGCCTGTCGGTGCCGTCATGCCTCACACCCACGGTGAGGAGAAGCTTGTCTTTTTGGCTAAGGCACAGGGTGATGCTTGACTGGGGCAGGAGATCACCCCCTTCACTCTGTCATTCATGGCCTCCCCGAGCCCTGTTTTCTCCACCTGAAAGCAAGGAGATAGAACACTGACAGGGTTACTGACTCATTTTATGAAGTATTCTCAATTTACTGATCAAAACTGTAATGTGGGAAATACACATTACAATCTGTAGTCTCTACTCATTGGTTTGTGAAACTAGGCTTTCTCTTGTAGCTGATGTTTTGGACACAATGTTATCATATTCAGTTGCTTTTAAGTTTCTTGGTTTTGCTTTGACAGATGTGTAAGAACCTTTATCTTCTTGGGACATTTGTTTTGGTCCAGTCCTACACTAACCTGTGTGCCCAGTACAGCCATCATTAACTGCAGTAACGCTGCTGACTATTGTAGCAATCTGCTTGAATAATTAGTAGTTTTAAACTGTGCTGCTGGAGTTACTTTTTTCTGCAGTGCCTCCTCGTTCAGCTTTTGACACGTAACATGATCTTGCATGACATCTCATGTTATTTTTGATTGAAGATGCACAATCTCTTTTGCACCTTCTTGACCAAGAATGCATATATGTTAACATGCATTTGAATGTGTGCCACGTACATTTAATGCTGAGAGGGCAACTTTTTTTTCCAGATGCAGCATGGAACGCAGCGGTATGCTGCGCAGCACTTGAAAACATGTGAGGGAGGTTCTTTGTCATTGAATCCTGGTAAACAAATCTAAAAAGCAAACTGAATGACACTGTGTCAATCAACATTCAACTTTATCCCTTCAGTTTTTCTTGAGTTGTGAATTACTTGCACAAGCATCCATAGTCTTCACTTAAAGAGGCAACAATTAGTTCACAAAAGCTGCTGGCTGAATGAAAACAATATTTGCATGTTAAATCATTCTTATTTGGTGTGCCAGAGGGAGAATGTGTGCATAGTCTCTCATGATCCTAGTGCTAGAAGCATCACAAAGTTTGCTGAAAAAAGACATGACTTGGAACCGGAGCTTAACTTTTTTTGTATTCTTCAAAAGAACTGAGTCCTGTCCTGGATCCTTAGAAATTAGTCACAAAACTAACTCTGACATCATTTAGGAGCAACAGCAGTGGTAGTTTGGTTTATGACTGATGGTAAAGACATTGTCAGCTACTATCTAGTACCACATACAAGAGTGTTAACAGGAAAAGGCAGTCCCAAGCAAAGTGAAAAATAGAAACTCTGAGTGCCTAAATGGAGCACTGATTGGATTAGATGGAATATCTCAAATGAAGAGTCCTTCCCTCCACCAGGAATCTGCCATACTTTGTGCTGAAAAGAGATAGAGGAAGGTTAAAAAAATAAAGGAGTGGAGCAAACCGACCTAGGGGAAACAGAATTTCAGCTTCTCCAGTAGCAGGTGAGGACTAAATCCCAAGACAGGCACTCTGCCACAGTGTCAGAGAAACAGAATGTGGAAACTGGATGGAAGGGGTCCTTTGTCCATCCCTTTTAAAAATGAATACAAATGTAGCCAGAGTGATGCATTAAGATGGTGGTTTGTTTCTGCCTGCATGCTCTGAATTTTAAATGCAGGATATTTAATAGGATCACAAGAAAGGAAATTGTTGTAGGTATAGGAGAGCCAAGAGGTAATTAAGGAATAAAAAAGGTTTCAGATGTGAGGTGGAGAAAGCAAAGACAAATTCAGTAAATTTCTTGGCAGGTGTTGGTTAATTTACAAGCAGGAGATAAGAAATTCAAAGTTTCACATAATAGGAGAGTTCACTGAAGACTTGAAATTGTTTTCTTCTTGGATTTGCTTCACTTGTTTGCACAAAAGGCTGCTTTGTTGCTGTGTGATACACTTAAGGACTCTGGAGTCAGCATTTTTAAGTAAGTTTGTTTAGCAGCAGATTGAAGGAGAACAAAGCATAGCTGTCTATTTTTGCCGAATAATAATACAGAAATTATTCTATTATGTTGATAAAGTTTTACAGAAAGCTACCTGAAGAATACTGGCTGAACCAATCTTCAGCTGTCCTTTGGTCTGATACGTACCAGAAAAAATTATATCCCCAAAGGATTTTATTCTAATAATAACAGCAATGACAACAACAAGAGGAATATTTCTCCTTCAGCAGCACCTCATTTTGCAGGGCTGATCCATGTGGGAATAAGCTACCTCCTGTTTCGTGCATAGACAGTCCTCAGAAGACCTAGTAGTGGTTTTGAATTATTGCTAGTGGAAACGCGTTCATATTTGAGAGCAACCAAACAAGTTGACTCCTTGGAGACCTCCCTTGCTCAGACCTCCGTGCAGCCAGGTTTGGTTTGCAAATGGCAAGTTGGCAATTGCTCATCCAGCTTGGGTTTGGCTCCTGGGCAGAGATGGATGTCAATATTTCTGTCTTCTTGCCTCTTCTTCCTTCCTCACTTGTTCATTTGCTAACTGTAGCATGAAGGAACAGAGATCCCTGTTAATTTGTTAAACTCTTTCTACTTCTAATAAGTTTATGTATTTTTTTTCTAGTTAAGCCAATGGTACCTTGTACTTCTCTAAGCATTTTTGGTACTATTGAGGAACTAAACAGGGCCATCCGGGACAGAAAGATGTAATGCAGTGAAATGCAGTTTCAGCAAAAGTAGGGACTTATAGAGATGATTTTATGCTTGCCACTCATCTGAGAAACAGTAGTCTTATACATGGCTGATTCAAATCACTTACTTCCTAATAATCCATCTGTCAAATAGATTTTCATTTGTGATAACATTTCTTCTATTTTCTTCTAGATGCAAAAAGTTTGGCTGAAATGCTTATGAGGTAAGAATAGATTTAATGTTTTTAATGGAAAAATGTCTGTCAACTATGGCATCATATTTAAAAATTATTATACCAACAAATGGAGAAGTAAGCCTTCTATTCTTAAATCATTTTCAAAACACTCCGTTTGATTGTTTAAGAGCTAGGACACATTGTTGGTTAGAAATGGGAAAAAAAAAGACGATTTGTGAATAGTATCTGTGAGGGAATACAATGGTAAAAAACTGAGAACTCTTGTATTAGTAGATTAAATTATAGAAGATATGTAGGTCCATTTGGACATTTTTCCTATTCAGAAAAAAGTTTTCATAATATGTACCAAAGTAATTGTTCTTCAGAGATCATCTGATTGAAGGCATTAAGTGCCTGGATGTGAATATCTCTATATTTACAGTTATAGTTATGTGATTTACTTTTGCTAGCTGCTTATACCCAAAGGCATAGAAGAGAAGGTAAATCCATTTATTATTTTCAGTTCTGTTCCATCAGTTCAGCATCCAGAAATCCAATTCAGTTGTTGAATTGCAACAGAATGACTGTTCTAGCACCACAATTCTTTCAAAGATGGAAATTTCATATCATCGATGCTTATTGTTTTGTCTGGGGAAAATATTCAACTTCAAAACTGCTGCATATATTTGAAAATGGGATCACCAAGGGATTATTTTTAGGTTCAAAAGAGTTTTGGTTTGCTAGAAAATCTTCTTATTTTTAAGCAACAAATTTGGGAATGTCATAGATATTTTAACAAATGAACTGTACTCTAAACTTCCTCACTCTTGATAAACTCCACCTGCTATTGTAAGAATATACTTACCAAAGACATAGTGACAGATGGTTTTAGTGTAAACTCAGCTCTATGCCGTCAGTCTGCAAATACATCTGAATAGTCCCACTGATGTTAACAAGACCAGTCATGTAGGTCAGGTCATACCCTTCCTATTTGCCAGTTAGAAACCCCTGCTAGCAGCAGATTGCAGATTTAAGCAACTTTAGGAAGCTATGCTGTGATATTTTTTGTTGTCACAGAAAACAGCACAGATTAGCATATGCAGCAAGTCTGTTCTCTAAAGAAACTGAGCACAGACTGGCTGAGACTCCTGGATGAAGATATTCAGTCCCAGTGACAACCACGCATAACACCTCCGCAAAACTGGTAAACCTCTGCCTTACCTATGGTTAGCTTCACTAGTCTTGTCACTGCCTCTGCAAGGTCGTTCCAGAGTCTCTCTACTCTGATGCTTAAAAAACTCTATCAAACTACCAACGTAAGTGCCTGGTTTGATCCCATTTTTTCCTCTACTGATGTCAACCTTCAAATTAAAAAGAGCTTCTTTCGCCCTCCCCATCTGATGCACTCAGAGAGCAGTTGGGTCCCTTCCCAGCCTTTAGTTTAGAGCTGTATTTCTAGGTAACTCATCTGCCACCATTTCTTTTTGCTTTTCCTTTCACCAGCATTGAAATATGATCAGGTCAGTTTCTCTCATCTCATTTATTAACAAATAATCTTGTTTTTATTAAATACTTATATTTTATATTTCTCTTCTAAAAATGTGAACAAAGGTAAATGACTATTAAAACAAGACTTTAGAGGAAATAGGGGATATAGATCTCGAAAATGCTTTATAACTTGGAGCTCTCTAAAGTGATGCTGGTTTAGGCAGCCTACTTTCTACAGGCTAAATACTCTGTCATTTGTGGTAAATCCGTGAAATACCTCTAACCGAAACCTGAGCTACCTGCCGTCATTAGATGGTCCTGAAGATTCGGCGTGTTAATAATCAAAGTCACATATAAAGCTCCTGATACTTTCTATCTTTTAGATTTCACCAAAATCTGCTATGATACAAATATCAAGAAAGAGGCTATGCTGTGGATTGTGCCTTGCTGTTTAAGTTTTGAACTGAAAGCAGAAAAGATGTTTCCCTGCTTGGTAGGAAGGTGTGAGGGATGGAGAGAACTTTGTGTATCTTTCCCTTTGAGGAGATTTTTATGAGCGTGTGTAGAGCGGATTAAGAATGGAGCTTTAGTGTTTGCTTTGAAAGTCACTGGCTTTGGCTGTGTAAGTCAAATGTCTGGGGAGTGGGATAAGCCCCAGTAGTTAGCAGTTTAATGGGAGCTGCACAACTTGTTGCTGATGCCTTAAACTCACAAATAAAAATCCCTGCTGCTGCACAATCACAGCTTTTTTATGTTTCTTCTGGGTGAAAGCATCTGTCCAGCCAACTTTTTTGCAACAGTTCATTGTGAGTCAGTATAGCAACTGACTGAGCTTTCTAATTTTGAACACAAGGTGAGGAATCTTTTCTCCCCACATATTCTTCTGTCAGGCTGATTACTTACAAGATTTACAACAACCAGCTTAGGCATCAGGAGACCATGAGGTGGCCTGACTCTCTGCCAAGGACCCAGAATGACTCTGGGTTTACAGAGCACCATATTTAATCCCTTTACATAACTAGCTTGATAGGTTTAACTGTGTCCTGTGCATACAGAAATTTTCAGTCACTTAAGTAAGTATTTTTTTATTAAAGATCCAGAAAGATTATTTAAAAGAGGGTATTATTTTAACTATGCACAATCTTTCAAAATACCTTATACGTTGTACTTCCTCTGGAAAAAGGCCCATTTATCCACAAACTGTACGTAAAAGCTGTACTTAATCAGACTTAAAAGCCCACGTACTCAAGTATCTCTCTTTCATAGTGGCCAAAGCAGACACCCTGGTAGAATAAAAGACTATAGCAAACGCATACTGTTTCCCAGACAGGCTCCCAGTCTCTAACAATCAGGAGCTTAGAGATTCATTGAACCACAGGGAATGAATCGTAGTATATACGGATCCTTACAAGGTCTGACAGGTAAAGAATAGCCATAGCACATATTTAAGTTTGGGAATTTTATACCTGTAGGTTAAGCATAGTATAGGTAGATACGCTTCCTCCCTTTAAAGAATTAATCATTGGACTCCTCATCCACCAGACTATTACAATACTTTGATGCCTGAATTTTCCTAGGTTGCAAAATACTTGTGCACCCAAGTTTAAAATTGCAGTCCTAAAAATCTTTGCCTCACTGCCAAGTCCTAGAGGCATTTAATTGCTGTTGGCACTGTAAGTTTTTATAACCTGAAAGTTGAGATATTGTGGTCTGCAGAAAATAATTCAAAATTCCTTCAGCCGGGAAGAGATGGCATGCTAATCAACATCAACCCTCTTGCTACTGCCAATTGCCTGTTCTGTGTTTGGACACTCCATGTCACCGTGCTGCTGCATACAGGAGAATTATTTAGACCAGTAAAGAGGAGGAGAGAGATCACACGAAACAAGGCATAACTCTTGAGCATAGTAGGGAATTTTCCCGAATATAGAGAGGTCTGGGTTCCGGTTCTGGCTTGAAGGACCGTCCATGTATGTTGCATAAAGCTATCCCTGGAGCTAAGAATGGGATTCAGAATTTTCTCTAGGCAGGTGAGGAATATAACTGAAAACCTGGGGAACTGTCCTTCTCCTTCCTGTGCTTCAAACAATAACATTCTGTACAGTTGAGTGCTTTGAGATAGTAGGAAGATGTCTGATTTGATCCCTTTGTCTCCTGCATTCCTGATGAATAGAGGAGGGGTGCAATGATGCATTTATTAGACTCGATTATGTATTGCACAGATCCTATATGTGTATGATTGCATGTATCCAATAACTACTGGATTAATGATTATTAATTGAAATTGGATCTCAGACATTCATTTTCCTACTCAATCACAGGTTTGGTCTACGATCTTGGACAAGCCCAAAATAGTCCAACTTTTCAAGGGCATGTATCCAAGCATATTTGGCATGCATATAATATATTGGTCTTTGATTCTCTTAACATTGCAGAAACTTGAGTGGAAACCAGTAGGAGAATGGCATCTAATCCATGCAGAGACTTTACTGAGACTTCGAGAATGTCAGTGTGGAATTAGTCTGCATTTTAGGATCCTAAATGTCTTTGAAAATTTATCTGCTTAATAAGACGCCGTGACTGATATTCTCCAGTGATTATATATGGAGAAAAGTCTGGCAGCCCTTGAGTAGCTCTCCTGGTATTTTGCTTCCATAATGCACTAGTTGTAGGCTGTTTGAATGCATTTCAGCTATCCATCTGTACATGATGGCAACAGTACCACCTAACCATCCAGGTAAAGACAAAGACATTAAAGTTTGAGATGCACAGGTAGTGTTAATGCTGGAGACCACAAGAGCAGGGAAAGCCAGAAGGTGAGAATCAGCCAGAGAGATATGCCTTGCAGATCTCACTCTTCCATTCGAAGCAGAATTACTGACCATGTCACAGGAAAATTCCTTCTGAAAAGGACTCTAGAAGAACCTCCAAGCCTGCAATAGTTAGGTCTTGCTCACATGGAGACAGAATAGGAAGTTAAGGCAAGTTGTCTAGAGATGTGAGTACATGCATTAGTCTCCTGTGTAGAAGCCCACACTCAGGGCAGAAATGAGCTTATCATCAAGCAGCTTAATAGTCCTCTGTTGATTCCATCAACAATAATAATTCTTTGCCAAAGGAGAATTAAACAGAGTGATCTACAGCTATTTTGCACTAGAAAATGCGCCTCCACTTGTATTTTAAATCTCTCTGAAGTGTGAGCACGTGGATCACACTACTGGCTGATTTGTCTTAACTTTCCTCAGCCTCTCTGCAAAAAGAAGTATTTGCAAATATTTCCTCTCTTCCAAAGAGTAATTAAATCTAAAAGGTCAAAAAGTTCCTGGATTTTCAGTGCAGTCTGAAGGTTTCTTGGTGCAAGCTCTGTACTAGAAATGATCGCAGCACTCAATTTTACTATCTATTTTCATTTGCTTTTAGTAGACAGCTCATTTAAGAAGTCATTTTCTGGTACACAAACTTCAAAATGAAATTGTTTCAATTTACATGATGATAGAATAATTGGTTTATGCTCTTTTTTAGAATATTGCATCAATCAATTAGAAATAATCCATGAACATAAACAAGATTTGCAATTTTGGTCTCGGAACATCAATGGGACTAAACCCTTTATTTATTTTATGCAATTTATTAATGGAATCTCTAGTTATTAATTTACTTTTTCATTTATCAATTCTAGTGATATTTGGAATTTATCTAATAAAAAATAATGAAAAGGGAAAAAAAAATAATAATTAGAAATTAGTCAAGACATCCTTTTCCTACCAACCTGTTTGATCAACTGCATGTCTCTTTACTAATATTCATGAAGAATGAGATTAAAGGTCCATCTTGGAAAGTGTTTTTACTAATTTCAGTATACGACAACACTTGAATAAAACTATATGACATTTTCAGGAGATTCCTACTGATAAAGAATAGACCAAATCACTCAACACTGTGCATTCCTCTAAGTGCTTATCAGGTGCAAAAAATTAATACCATATACTTGTTCTGAAAAGGGGAAAATAAGATATATGAGTGTTTTGCTGATTATGGCTATATCATTTTTTCAGCTGGACAGATTTAAAATGAGGAATTTTGCAAATATCTTTTCATTTAGGCTGAATGTTAATGTATTCACTTCTCTTTTTTTTTTTTTTAGCAAGAACACCAGGACATCAGATACACTTAATAAGCAGCAGCAAACACTGAGGATGCACATAGACATTCCCAGAGCACAGCTTCTGATCGAGGAGAGGGACACGATGGAGACCATTGGTAAACTTCTGTTGGGCTTGTTTTCACTACTTAATGTAACAGGCACTTTAGGTGGACTTGCTTTACTCCACAACTTCTCTCCACTGCACACATCAAGAAAAAAGAGCTACAAAGTAATTTGCCGCATTTGAAAACTGAATTGATTTTTTTTTCTCCCCTTTGAATCATTTCCCACTTTAAGTAATCTCAGTACCGTATTTAAAATAATGCAGGACATTAGGAAAATGAAGCTTGTGGAAAGAGCCACTTGAAGAAAATGTAAATGAAGATTGACAGTTTTATGATTTTCATTTTGATTTCTCTTTTGGCTTTGACTAGACAGTTGGATCACTGGCACTACTTATAGGCAAAATGAAATTCTGAAACTACAATATCAGTATTTAAAGATCTGCAACAGACAACTTCTAAAACTTACATGTTGCATATTGTTTCCACCTGTTCATAGCAAATGATATTTTAACATTTTGATCAATTTTCAGCTTTTGTGTGTATATGCAAAATTCAAATCTAAACTGTTTCACAAAACAGAAAACAGATTTCTCATGTGGCTGGCACATAGCTGAACTGTCATGAAAAACAGAATTGTTTGACATAGGGTTTTTTTTCCAAATAATTTAAACACGAGGTGTCTGAAATCTCAACAGAATAAAAATACAGCCTGATCTTGTGACCGTAGGGGTACGCACTGTGGCAAGACCCTCCAAAATGACTGATCTTGTTAGACTTCTACCTTTTTTGGATCAAAATCTGTGTAGAAGAAGCCTGTGATGTCTGAGAATGTAACTGCATCTCAGGGACGGAATGACTGGAGGGGAAAGCTCTGCAAGCTGGGAGCAGCGTCTCTGCATCTCCTGTCCGTGCCCACACTGGGGAGGGACAAACTGTTTTAGCCCCCGCACCCTGTCACACTTGCTGTCAGTCTGGCATGGGGAGGTGGCCTCAGGGGACATTTCACATTTTGTGCTGCAGATTTGAAAAGGAGACCTGTGCTTCACCTGAAATACAGACTTTTTTAATCCTGATTTGAGTTTCTGAAAGTTTGCCTCTGTGATGCAGTCTTTTGTGCCAAGCTTCATCCCAAAGACAGCTTTTACTTTTGAGTTACAGTTGCTGAGCAATAGTGAGTTTCAGTGGAAATACCATTAGTGCCTTAACTGTAGCAACGCGATCAGTGCCTTGGTAATAGTCAGCTCTCCGCAAAGCGCTCAGAATAAGCAGGCACTTTGGCAGTCTTTGACATAGTTTACTGCCAAGAGGCTTTATTCCCAACCTGAATAAGAGCTCATCTTTTGCCAGAGACAGGGTAATTTGATTTCATAATGCTCATTCTATTTATGGCCTTCTTTGGGTAAAAAATGCTAGTTATGTTATTGTGCAGAACTGTTTGTCTTTAATGGTGTCTTGTCAAGCTAAAAAAAAACTCAAAAAACAAGAATGCTTAGAAGAAGCAGATCGACTTCTGCTGGCTGGGAAACGTACGAGAGCCTCACTGCTGCCAGTCCATTTAGAAATACTTTACAAAGCTATATAGCATAGCATAGTAGGAACTTCTTCTGGCTTTTATTACTATTATGGATGGATATAAAGGCTTTAAAGAATGCAAAACAAAAAAGTCTGATAGCATGCAAATAGTTGTTCTGCAAGCACAAAGTCAGTGGAAGATTTATTGCTGTTAAACCTTCCATGATCAAGTGGACCAGATTCTTCTTTGGAGTGAAAGAAATACAATACAGAAATCTTAACTAAAAAAAAAAAAAAAAGTGTGTGATGTATAGCACTGAATTTCTGCAGAGATCAAGGTCTGTGTAGAAATTTGATAAATATATCATACCTCATAGAGAAGCAATAGGCAGCAGAACCATACAGCAGTAAAGGTCAGTGCTTGCCTTTTTCTTCCAGTTCTTCCCAAGGTCAGGCTTTACCTCTCACCCTTCTTCGCAGCTGCAGGAAAGCCTGTAGTTGTCTAGACTGACTGTGTTGAGAGAAACTTATATGATTCACTTAAAGCTCTCCAAAGCTTCTTTTTCAAACCTACAGTAGGGAGGTTTGGTGCAGAGAGAGCTGGTAGGTCTTAGCTCTTAACTTCCAGAACAGCGAAACACTGGACTTAAGGATGTTTAGCTGCCCTGCAAGGATATTTCCATTGTCTTTACTATGGTACTCACGTGCTTAAAAATAAGCAGCTCTTTAAGAACAGTCTTGAGTCATGGACATCCCTTCTGCAATATTTTGTCTCTGAAGAAGAGGTTGACTGGTAGAGGGTTAGTTAGCAACATTACCTAATGACCTCCTTTTGGGAAGACATGAGTGATTTCACTGAGGACATTACTAATAATATTAATAAAAAGAAATAAATTGAATATGTTGTTGAAAAGCTCAGCTGAACTCTCTGAAAATGAAGGGGGAAAGGGCAGTGTTCAAAAGATGGGAAAGAAGAAATTAGTGCCAAATACAATTACACACAAATTAGCTTTTTGGAAGGATGCTTAATAGTTTGTCTCAATTGCACACCTCTAAGGTGAAATCAGAAAAACAGACATGAAAATTACACTTATTCTTTAGTTTTGCATGAAATTTGAGTTTAAATCCAGAGGCTCCCAAGCTGTGGTACACACTTCAAAGCCATCTTCTCTCCTGCAGAGAAGAAGTAGATGCCACTGTCAGTGGTGGCGTCCAGCTGAAAGTAAGTCTGGCGAATTGCTGAAAAGCTCTTATGAAGGCAAACCCAAAATTCATTAATCATTATCTGATGGGGATTTTTTTACTTACAGATGACAGATCAACAGTTCTTCTCACTGATGCTGACTTTGGAGAGACATCTAAGCAGAAATCACTGACTGTCACCCACACAGTACATTACCAGTCTGTGTCACAAGCTACGGGACCACTGGTGGATGTTTCTGATGCCCGGCCAGGAACAAGTAAGCGTATAAGAGAATATGTTATCTGGAAAGGAGAAAGGTATAAGAAAATTAATGCTGTGCTCCAGCATTTGCATCCTCATGGGATTTCTTCTGCAATGTGAAAGTTGAGAGAAATCTATTTAGAGAACATTTCTTACACAATTGCTTTTAGTGATTCAATATGGTAAAAATTGCATATGCATCTGAAATGTAGGTGTAATTTGAAATAATTCATACCTTGCTTTCATTAAACCAAATGCATGCTAGATTTTAATTTCTAGAATTTATTGGATAAATTAGCTTAATGGCTTTTAGTGTCTAATTTTTTTTTCCTTGGTGATCAGTCTTTATCGTATTTCAAAATACATCTTTTCTCCTTACCTCTCCATCAGGCAAGAAATACATTTCTCTCTATTGCTTTTCTGAAAAAGTTGTATTTCCAGTTTTAGTTATTATGGTAAATTACTTTTCCCAGATATATTCATGTTGAGTTATTCTTATAGTGATTAAAATACTATCATAAATTAATATATTGCTGCAATCGATTCTTCTTAATTTATCTCATGAATATGTTCTATATCTATGTAAATGGAAATCACTAGGTTGAAGGAATACTTATGAGTTAGGAATATTACCAAAGTGTAGTTTGCTAGCAGTGTGCAGTTTCAAAAATCTCTTGTATTATTTCTATCCCATGATCATTTCAGAGTTTGTTTACTTTGTGTTTGGTGAACACAAATGCTGAAAGCTCAATTGTGCATCACCTAAAATGCAGATTATTTGAAAAATCTTCATTTCACCTTAATTTCCACCCCAGTCTTTATAAATGATAGCTGTTCTAGTTCTGACCTTGCTGCTTTTCTAACTCTGACAATGTTAAGCTGTGGATGGTTATTTCTTGAGGACTAGCTTAGTACCACCATTTTTCATCTATGGAGAGTCATGACATTTGAATTAGAAGAGTCAAGATATGACATTTATTTTCTTTCTGGTACCACTCTTATCTTGTTTCTTTAGTTCACATACATGCGGGCTAGAGAGCAAAATACATAATATTTTTGTCACATTAGCAGATCAAGTTCGTCTGAGTAAACAGTGGACTCTCCATTGTTTTCCAACTCTGGCTTTTCAAACAAGGAAAGAGGCACCACCCCAAAATTGCCTGCCTGTACCACACCACAGCATTTTATAGTATCAACATCTTCCATTCCTAATCCCTTTTTTTGTGCAATTATGTGGTCCAGTCCACTGAAGTCAGAGAGAGTCTTCTCTCAAATTAACCCGGGGTTTAACTCATCTATAACAGTATGATCTATGTCCAGCCAGGCTTTGGAAATAGAAATCCACCATCACTTTTATTATGCAGTAAAGATCTGATTGCAGCAGTGCACAAGGCTTGGTCAGAGACTGTTAGGTTGTGTTCTCTGGATTTAAGACACTAATATTGTTTTGATAGAGGCTAGGCTATGAGATTTTGTTGAGACCCACAGCTTTCTGTCTGAAGAGGGGAGCGGCGCCCAGCTGGGTGGCTCAGAGGTTGTGGATCCTCCCGCCTGAGCACACTCATGCTCGCTGATCGACAAATATTCCCTTACAGCACTTTTTAAGTGGTTCTCTAGTTCTTTCGCATTTATTTATAAAAGAGGTATGCTCTGTGAACCTTTGCCTTGCTGACCTCAGCTCTCTACAGTTGTTCCAGCATATGACAGCAGAACTGGCTTAATAACCGGGGCACCAGATGTGCGCTGTTTTCTGTCACACCGGCAGCTCTGGAGCTCGCTGCGTCTGTGCTACAGAGTCCCTTATGCAGGCACAGCGCAGCTGGTGCAGAGCTGCTGCTCAGCACATGCTCAGCAGGACGAGCACTGACTTCCTGCCTGCTGGCAGCAGGCTCTCCCTTCAAATTACTGAAGAAAGCCTACTGAGTCATGGGATCAGAGAAGAGTTGAGGCTGGAAGGGACCTCCGGGCACTGGCTAGTCCAACCCCTCTGCCTAAAGCAAGGTCAGCTAGAGCCGGTTGCCCAGGGCCAGACCCAGAGAACTTTTGAATATCTCCAAGGATGGAGACTCCATTACTTCTCTGGGCAACCTGTGCTGGTGCTCAGCCGCCCTCACAGTAAAGTGTTTCCTGATGTTCGGAGGGAAGCTCCCATGTTTCTCCTTGTGGCCATTGCCTCTGGTCCTGTCACTGGGCACCACTGAAAAGAGCCTGGCCCTGTCCTCTTTGCACCTTCCCTTCTGGTATTTATATACATTGATGAGATACCCCCAATCCTTCCCTTCTACACACCAAGCAGCCCCAGCACCGTGCCGAGAGTTTTCCCACCAGCACTCTTCTCTCCTTCATGTCTTCCCTCGAGGCAGGCACGAGGCTCACTTATGGCTACAGGAGAGCCGTATGCCAACTTTCCACAGCTGATATAAGCGGTGGTTTGTACTGACAGGCTGGTCACGCCGTGCCAAGTGCATTTTTGGATGTTATCCATGTGAGGCGGCTGTGTGTTGCGCTACCAGGAGGATCAATTATCAATAGCACTGGGTTTGTATTTTTCCACTGCTGTAAGGGGAAGATGTGAAACAGGAGAATGATCAGGCCATAGCTGGTGTTTGTAAATAAATACCTTGTTTCTTTGAAGCAGCAGAATACAAATTCTTACTGCCAATGCTTAGGCAGAAGCAATGCTTAGAGTCATTATCTGGGTATTGTTTTTTTCTTTAAATGGCATCTACTAAAGTCTCTTACCTCAAAGACTGACAACTTCACCATTTGAATGTCAAAGAACATTTGAATAGATTTGAATTTTTCATTTCTAATACCCTTTCTCTCTATTGTTAGTAATATCCTTTCAGAAGCTCTGAAGAGAAATCCTTCAGTGCTGATTTAGTCACTTTCTATTTGCCACACAATGATTTTTCTATTCCACTTGCTTTGTTGGGGAGTACAAGCCTCAGTTTTACGGAAGAGCCGTTTATTAACAAAATTAAGGAGGTCAGTTTTGGCAGATAGTTCGATTTTACTCCCTTGGTAACCAGATTATCTCTAGGATAATAAAAAATAAAACATTGCTGACCTTAAACAAGCAGTAGATGATTTTTAAAGTTTAAGAATTTATTTACTAAGTTTTTTAAAACAGTCAAATCTTTATGAACCTGTTCCTACAGAAAATCTGATGGCACTATTACAGGTTATATTTTATGTCTTGGCTACTTGTTAAAAAAAATAGGGAATATGTAGCTGATTAATAGTGTAATATAGTGAAAGTATTAGTAAAATGTCCAGAATAGGAAATTATATCACCACATTTCTGAGCACATGTTTTTACAAACTGAGGGCAGGTACCTGGTGTAGGGTGTTTCTGAAGGCACATTTATGCTAATAATGTGCCTTAGACTTCACTTGAGATATGGTGTGAAATCCCTGACCAGATCCACTTGCCTTGTGCTCTTTCACAACTCAAAGTGATTTTAGTACTGGAGAACTGCTTATGTTGGAGTAAAGGGGTAATGAAGGCATAAATGGGAGATTGGTGGGGCTCTCAGCTCTTCAGCTGCACCCTTTTTTAAATGTATGGTTTCATTAGAAAGAGTATTTCGAAAAAACATTAGCAGTTTCGTAATGAACAGCACTTTCACGGTTCGCTTTTTTTTCCACTTGTGGGATTTCAGTGACCATCTCATTCTGACAGGGCTTATTTCCTTACCAATTCAAGAGCCTTGTGGCAAAGATCCTCTCTGTTATCCATCACAGATCCTACCACAAGGAGGAGTGCCAAAACCGGACCCACAGCCCGCAACCGCTATGCTAGTCAGTGGACCCTCAACAGACCTCACCCTACCATATCAGCTCACACCCTCACCACAGACTGGAGGCTGCCCACCCCCAGGCCAGCAGGATCGGTGGACAAGGAAAGCGACAGCTACAGCGTCAGCCCCTCGCAAGACACAGGTACGGGGCTCTCTGCAGGGCTGCGCTGTGAAAACAGGACAGCAGTAGCTGCAGTTACCTTCTCAGTCCTTCATGTCCTTCATTTGGTGCTGAGGTGTCATTATTTTTTCCTTGCTAGGGTGTTTTTCTGCAGGCTATTTATAACAGGTGCCACAAATGCATATAGTGCTAATGATGCCAAATATCGTGCCCGTGGTTTCTTGTGCTAGACACGTGTACTGGAATCCTTTGAAAGATGTGACGGTAATTTCTCCTGTAGGTGAAGTGTTGTACTTCCTTTATCTGAAGGAAAAAGTAGGAGAATTTGCTGCATGAAATAGCGTTGACCAGGAAGGGGCAGTATTAGCAACCAAGAACATGCCTGAGTCATGGGTGGAATGATTTTAAGGTTTGAGCTACATTGAGGTTAGCATTTTCCTTTTCCCATTCATGTAATGTTTTCACAGCGTTTATTCTAAGCTGAGAAAATGAGAGGGAAAAATCTGGAAACAGAGTCCAAGTCAAAATCCATTCATATCACTGAATACTGCAGCAGCTAGCTCTGATTTTCCTGAGAAACAGCTTAAGTTTTATTCCTCTAGATGATAAGTGGGGAGACGCTGAACACATATTCTGCCTGCAGTCTTCATCTCTTCTAGGTGTCTTCACATTATAAATGTAATGGTAACTGAAAAAAAAAAAATTAAAAAAAAAAAAGCTTTCTTCTCTGCCCTATGCTGAAAAAGTGATAAAAAAAGGACAAATGCATGAGTAAATAATTAAGCAGAAGAATAGTCATGAAGCAAATCTAAGGTTAAATATGAAGAAAGATAAAATACTATTCAAAGGGCTGCCTGACAGAAGTTATTCCAGGCTTACTCTGGCCTCCTCAGAAGGAATTGCCTTCCTTCTGTCCTGATCTTAGGGGAAGAGTGTTTGTCACATGAAAAAGTGTTGTGTTAGAGCCACAAAGTGATAGGTGTAGCTGGTCTTTCACCATGAAATCAGGATGACTAGTTTTATTCTCTCTATGTAAACAAGCATCTGACATCCCTTACATCCAGTCGTTTATAGGTTGAAGTTCTCATCTTTTCCCAATTCATCCTCTTAAACTTGCAGACCCCTATGTTGTCTCCATAGGATAATGGCATTCAATACATACCTCTAGCCAGCTGACAGACTTCATTCTGATTTCTTCAGGCAGAATTAGCATGAGGCTTTAAGGATTAAATCTAATAAATATAAATAGCAAATGTGATCTCAGAAAACCTTTTTGTAGACATTCCATGTTTCAGGTGCACTTGCATATGTTCCAACATTTTGTCACCCAAGGATATTTTCCAACATGGCAAAGGGCAGAGAATTCAATTTGCTGTGTGGTTTGATAGACAAACTACATGCAATTTTGTAACCAGACTTTGTAGTCTATGTTTTAACATGGCTGCTTTCCTGCTCTGTGTCTACCCTTGAATACACATTCATTTATGTAAGGGATAGCAAGCTTTAGATCGTGCTCAAGAAAGGGTTTCTTGTGTCAAAATGTAGCTCTGTTACGCTACTTGGTTTGTGGGAAAGAAATAGATTCCGTTTAATGTGAGTCCTTTAGAAGGTTAAGATTTCCAAATAAACATTATAATAGATGTAGCCAAATTATGTGTTCAAGAATCAATTGAACAATACGTACGTTTGATCACTTTTCCAATATGGAGTTCAGATTTCTAAATCTAGTTGATGCAATTGATATTTGGCAGAATTTAGCACTTCATATCAAAACAATTCCAGGTTTACTGGAAGCAGTAACTTTTAAGCTTGAGAAATGTATTGCAGCAGTTCATAGCTGTAACTAAGTTTAAATGTTCTAACTAGAGGTCATTAGAAATTTTCTGATGAATCTGGGTTTCATGAAGTTCACTCTGGGCTTGGATGAATTTTCATCAAATCTAAAGTAGATGTTCAAGCAGATTCTTCCTGGAATAGTCTCCCCAGGGCATGAGATATGGGAAGTTGCAGGTCCTGACCTTCATGCCAGAGTGGCATTTTTATGACCATCATATTTACAGACACTGTTCTATGGCACTGGGCAACTGCAGCCTTCCAGGAGTTTCCAGTTGATCAGAAATTTGGAAAGACATTGTTTTGGTCTGATTTACAAATCAAATGTGAAAAACAGAATGATATCTCCTGGGGAAAAGAAACCATCTCTAACTTGTTTAAGTTCTAGCCAGCTCAAAATCTTAAGTAAGTTATAGCATATTGTAGAACTATTTCCACATGGACAGTGGGATTGAGTGCACCCTCAGCAAGTTTGCAGATGACACCAAGTTGTGTGGTGTTGTGGACACGCTGGAGGGAAGGGATGCCAGCCAGAGGGACCTTGACAGGCTGGAGAGATGGGCCTGTGAGAACCTCATGAAGTTCAACAAGGCCAAGTGCAAGGTCCTGCATGTGGGTCGGGGCAATCCCATGCACAAGTACAGGCTGGGCGGAGAATGGATTGAGAGCAGCCCTGAGGAAAAGGACTTGAGAGTGCTGGTGGATGAGAAGCTCAACATGAGCCGGCAATGTGCGGTGGCAGCCCAGAAAGCCAACCGTATCCTGGGCTGTATCAAAAGGAGCGTGGCCAGCAGGTCGAGGGAAGTGATTCTGCCCCTCTACTCAGCTCTCGTGAGACCCCACCTGGAATACTGTGTTCAGCTCTGGAGTCCCCAACACAAGAAGGACATGGAGCTACTGGAGCGAGTCCAGAGGAGGGCCACGAAGATGATCCGAGGGCTGGAGCACCTCTGCTATGAAGAGAGGCTGAGAGAGTTGGGGCTGTTCAGCCTGGAGAAGAGAAGGCTCCGGGGTCATCTTATAGCAGCTTTCCAGTACCTAAAGGGGGACTACAGGAAAGCTGGAGAGGGACTTTTTACAAGGGTGTGTAGTGATAGGACAAGGGGCAATGGATTTAAACTGAAAGAGGGCAGATTTAGGTTAGATATAAGAAAGAAATTATTTACATTGAGAGTGGTGAGGTACTGGAACAGGTTGCCCAGAGAAGTTGTGGATGCCCCATCCCTGGAAGTGTTCAAGGCCAGGTTGGATGAGGCTTTGGGCAACCTGGTGTAGTGGAGGATTTCCCTGCCCATGGCAGGGGGGGTGGAACTAGATGATCTTTGAGGTCCTTTCCAACCCTAACCATTCTATGATTCTACGAAATAATGCATGGTTCTGTTTACAAGTGGCAGGAGTGTTGTTCGTTGCGCACAATGAAAACTGATGCAAGGATCCTAGCACACAATAAAAAAGATAAAGATTTGCAATAAAAACACAGTTGCCTCTGGCTGCTATAGGAGTCCCATTTTTATGAATTCGCAATTACATTGTTCCTGTTTATTGAACATCACCGACAATGTCTGAAATTGTGCAGATCTTGTGATGAAACATGACTTCTGCCCAAGGAACTTTTGAAAGGCCTCTACTCCTCCAGCTCACTGAGGTAGAAGTGTGATGGGTGCAACAGACCAGTGATTTGTCCCTACAGAAATGAGCACTGCATTTACATCTTCAATATAGTGCTTGTTTAAGAAATATTGATATTCTCAGAAACTTATGAGCAGAAAAGAACAGCTTGTAGATCCTAATAGCCTATGTGTCAAATATGAAGACCCCATCATTGAAAAAAGCACGTGAATGGCTGCAGGCTGGTAGCTACCAAACAATATTGCTTTCTTAAGATGTTTGTTCGTTTGAAATGAGTTAGTATTTTACCCGGTGTCTGAGACAGTCAGAGACAATGTCTGAGAGACACTGCCTTTGTATTTGACCTTAGTCCTCAGGGCTTTCTCAAAAAAAAAGGTGCAAGATTGAAACAGTTACAGAAAGACTATCCTTTCTCACCTAGACATCACCTCACAGAAATATTTCTGAGATGCATTAAAAAGATAAAGAAGCTGTTCCTCAGATTTTGTTAAATCTCTTTTGTAGGTTTCTAACATTTTTAAGGCATTTAATTTTCAGAGAAATGATTTTTTGTAAAAAAATATAAAAGTAGCCTTTTTAATGTATTAAAGGTTATATCTTCTAAACCACGAATTTAATGCTAAGCCGCCACAAAATGCTGCTAGCAGAATAAGACTTCGCTTTAGATTATCTGTAATTATCAAGTAACTGACTAAACTAAAAATTGTGCAGTCATTTATAGCAAAGCAGACTCATTTAAATCTCCTTGATAATTTTAAGGGTCCTGCATTTTATTAAGAAATATTATCATGTTCATAGCTTTTCTTCCAGAAAGGATTGTGCAGATGTTTTCTTTCCTCCATTATTTATATTTCTGATGTTTAGATAGAGCAAGAAGCAGCATGGTCTCCACAGAAAGTGCCTCCTCAACGTATGAAGAGCTAGCGAGAGCATATGAGCATGCAAAAATGGAAGAGCAGCTGAGACATGCCAAGTTCACCATTACAGAATGCTTCATATCAGATACATCATCGGAGCAGCTCACGGCAGGGACTAATGACTACACAGACAGCCTGACCTCAAGCACGCCATCAGAGTCGGGGATCTGCAGGTTTACCGCATCACCCCCCAAACCTCAGGATGGAGGGCGAGTGATGAACATGGCAGTTCCAAAGGCACATCGGCCAGGTGAGACATTAGAGGTAACGTTTTGGTCCTCAGGGGGAGCATTTCAGCCTGTGCCTAGTCTGGTTAATGGGAGAGGCCATATCACAAGGAAGAAAAAAGGTGCACAATATAGCCTGTAACTACTTACAGAGATAATTGCTTTTTATCTCAGCTAATACAGCATTTGAGTATATACTCCCACATACAGAAAAATGAGGAACTTGGAAATCTAGGAACAGACAGGGACTATCTAGGCCATCAAATCCATTCCTCTACACGGCTGCAGCCATCAGGCAATAGATCTTTCTGGGATAAACAAAACCATATGGGGTACATATGCCCAACTCCAACTCAAACCACCCACTAATAAAGCATGTCTTCAGCAATGCTTTGTGCTTGAGAGCAAAGGTTTGCTATCAATCAGACCCATTTATAAGGACAGATTGTAGAAGATGTACTATCCCTTCTGCCTTGTAGCTTGTCAAAGATGTAATAACCCTTCAGTGAGGTTCTTGAGCTGTTATACTCTGTCTTTGACATCTCCTAATATCAAACTAGGATTATCTAAAGGGGGTAGAATTAAAAACGGAGAATATTAAGATAGTGCAACAGTTCAAGGGATATGGAACCTTCTAGCTTCAGATGAATTTAAACCTGCTCCAAATTCTTACCGACTGAAGGTGCTTGAGGAACATCCATCTACCGCACTTAATCAAATTTCCACTTCACAAGAAATGTTGTTTCTAGTGACACCCTAATGCACAATAGCATAGGTAGATTATTTGTGATATTCTGAGATCAAATACATGATAAAGTCTTCTCAGAAGATTTGTCAGTCTTTGTTACAGAATACATGATGTGACACCTTCGAGGAGGATTTGAATTGGAAAAAGGCACAATTATATTTGTGTGCTCTCTGAAAATGCTGGGTTATTTTATTTTATTTTAGTTAGTATATACATTTGCCAGTGTGGGTGGGGCTACTTATATACACAGAAAGTAGTCAGTAGTGCTTATCTATGTGAAAAAGAGTAATGAATAAACTACAGTCTTTTCTTAATATACACCATAAATGGAAAAGCAGTTTTTGTGAGGACAGAGGAATGGAAGATAGCCAGTGGTATCAGGAATGTTATTCAAAAGCAGGACCTGACACTGAAAAAAAAGCATAAAGCATTTTGCAAGAGAAAACTAAAAGAAGAACATGGGAAGAAAAAGACCAAGCAGAAGGTAGGAAGTTATAACAGACAAGGCAGGAAATTAGTGTATCATACAAATAGATAAGAGGGAAGGTAAGTAGGAAATAAAATAGTGAGAGAAATGACTGGTTTCTGTGTAGTCACAGAGCAGAACCACAAACTCAGGAGCCGTAGAAATAGATAAATATGGAAATAATTTTCATTTCTAACTTGAAAAAAAGTAAGATAAATATTTGTACTTACTCTGCTAAAGGGAAGCATTTACATTCACAGCTAAATCAAAATTCCAGTCCTCTCCTTCCAATCAGTCAACAAACATTTTTTATCATTTCTATAGCAAATAGCTTACTCTCTTCCTTTCATGTTCCAAATACATTATTTATGCATATTTAGTATTTTGAAATATTCTAATATATTCTATATAAAGCTGATTTTCTTGAGGCTATACAGCACCAAAATTTGTCCCTGTGTTAAAAGCTTCCAGGGTTGGAACATCATCAGAGCCCCACTAGTAGACTTGTAGCCATCTTTAGCTCTGTTAGTTTAAATGGCTTGAATTTCTTCCTGCTTTTATTGATTGGCTTTAGCTTTCCTTTGCAGTAAGGAAATGAAATGTGTTATGAAATTAATAATTAGCTTCAATACTTTGAAAAAAATGGAATGTTCCAGTGGAGCAACTTGAACATTGGCCCATCAATATTGAATGATATGTTATTAAAGTTTACTTTATGAAGGGCTTTAAACAAAACATATGAGCAGAAAAAATTTTCAGTAGTAGCAGACAGACCAATATTTTTAGTGTTCAAATCAGTGAGGAGAGGACTTTGGGGCATCCTTTTTCTTTTACCCATCACTTCAGAAATTCTGCAGAAATAATAATTCAAATATAATTAATCAAAGTAATGCTACATTTGGGAACACGGAGAAAAAATAAAAAAGTTAAAGTATTTAGGTTAAGTAGATGAGAACATCTGAGATGAAACACTGACTGTGCTTCTTTACTACATCTTTATTGTTCCTCAAAGTCAATCTTTTATTTCAAGATAACTTTTACCTGTTTTCATGGTGTTTTGCTTTTCTTCTTCTCCAACTCCATCTCATTCGTGTACAATGTCACTTTCAATAACTTATGCCACCTCCTTCCTAATTTCTGATCTCACTCTTCAAACTGCCTGTAATGCTACCTGCTGCAACTTTTATGGTTGCAATTAAGGTTTAGGAGTGTGCAATGAGTAGTATTTGTTTTTCAAAATAATCCTCAACAACTATAAGACAGTCTCAGAAAGACTGTAACACAAAGTTATTTTGATAAATGGGACATTTTGCAACGAATCTACCCATTGGCAAGGCTGCAACTTTACTCAAGAAAGGTAACGAAAGAGTTTATTGATGAAAACTTTTGTCAGCCATAAATGAGCTATTACAGCTCCTACTTCTTAGTTTGTTGCTACCATAAGTGTTTGATATGAGCAAGCAAAATGTTAGACTACCTGAGGCTTGGCTTCAGAAAACCTTCCTGTGGGTTTCTGAGAGTTTCCTGACTCATGTCATTGATTGTTCCCTTGCTTTTCCTGAGCAACCCATAGGATGCACCTCTTGCACCTGTATAGTTAAGCCTGCTGATCAAACAACATGTTTTATCAACAGGCAGCATTTGAGACCTCGGGTTGTTCCAAACTGAGATAGTTAATGATTAGGAGTAGGGAACCTGAATGTTGTTTCATTGGAGGATAAAAAGGGGTCATCAAGATTCAGTGACTTGCATTCTGGGGTCTGACATCGCCCTGCTATTCCCAACTTCCATACCATTGCCATTCAGAAATTGAAACAAAACATTTAATCACCCCATCACCTTGAATTATATTTGGATGGCTCATCAGATCTCTAGGCAAGCTTAGTAATTTATAATTTCTAGCACTATAGCTATGAATTAGGACTGTCTTTTCTGAGCTTCTACACATTATGTACAACTCTAACTCCATAATTAATAATGCGTCATAGTTGATTGCCTTATGTTCTAATACCCTTGTAAGTCTTCTAATAGACCTTTTCCCTTCCAGTCAGCTGGTGCTGCACATACACATTCAGGTCAGCTGTCAAAACTGCTTCTTACTTCTGCATTTTTACACCTTTTTTCTGACATTTAGTTTATAGAAACAAGAATCAGTTTCATGAAGTTGGCTCAGACATGGGAGCTTAAAATTCAATGATTTTGTCATGAAACAATAATGATAATTTTATAAAGGAAATTAAAGCAATCATATCTAATGTCACAGTAAACAGTAAATAAGGAAACAAAGTGATTTTGGCATACTGAGTCTGAGACATGCATCAGGACTTCAGAACGATCTGGATATTTGGCATGGGTATTCTTTTATCATTCAGACTGTCAAACGTATTGCGTAGTACACATCTCTACATTTCAGCTGAACTTATTGCATTGCAAAATCACAAAATGGTTGAGGTTGGAAGGGACCTCGGGAGGTCATCTGGTCTAACCTCCCCCTACCCAAACAGAGTAGGCTGTCCAGGACCATGTCCAGTTGGGTTTTGAGTATCTCCAAGGGTGAAAGCTCCACAACCTCTCTGGGTGCCAGTGCTCAGTCACCTTCACAGTAAATAAATGTTTCATGATGTTCAGACAGAGCCTTCTGTGTTTCAGTTTGTGCCTATTGCGTCTGGTTGTTTCACTGGGCACCACTGAGAAGTGTCTACTTCTATCCTCTTCACACCCTTCGTTCAGGTATTCGTATACATTGATGAGATACCCCCCAAGCCTTCTCTTCTCCAGGCTGAACAGTCACAGCTCTCTCAACCTTTCCTCTTAGGAGGGATGCTCCAGTCCCTTGACCATCTTAATAATCCTTAGCTGGATTCTCTCCAGTAGCTACACATCTCTCTTGTATTGGTGAGCCAAGACCTGGACACAGCACTCCAGTTATGGCCTCACCAATGCTGAGGGAAGCATCACCTCCCTTGACCTGCTGCCAACACTCCTATTGCGACTCACGTTACAGTTGGCCACCTTCTTTGTCATAATGGCATATTGCTGCTTCATATTCAACTCGATGTCGACCAGAAGCCCAGGACCTTTTCTGCAAAGCTGCTTTCAAGCTGGGTGACCCTCTGCATGTACTGATGCATGAGATTATTCCTCCATAAGTGTAGAACTTTGCACTTGCCTTTATCGATCTGCATGAGGTTTGTGTTGGCCCATTTTTTGAGCCTGGCAAGGTCCCTCTGGATGGTAGCACAATCCTCTGGTGTACCAGCCACTCCTCCTAGTTTTCATCATCAGTAAACTTGCTGAGGTTGTGCTCTGCCCCACCATTCAGATCATTAGTGAAGTTGTTAGACAGGATTGGACCCAGTATTGACCCCTGGGGTACACCACTAGTTACTGGCCTCCAACCAGACTTTGTTCCACTGGTCAACATAACCTATACCCAACTGTTCAGCCAGTTTTCAGTCCACCTCACCATCTGCTCGTTCAGCCCATAACTCATCAGCTCCTCCATGAGGATCTTATGAGAGGCAGTGTCGAAAGCCTTACTGAAGTCAAGATAGACAATATCCACTGACTTCCACTCATCTACCAAGCCAGTAATTTCATCACAGAAGGTTATCAAGTTGATCAAGCATGACTTGCCCTGGGTGAATCCACGCTGACTGCTTCTGATCACCTTCTTGTTCTTCATGTGCCTGGAAATGGTTTCTAGGATTGCTGCTCCATCACCTTCCCAAGGATGGAGATGAGGCTGAGTGGCCTGTAGGTTCCTGGGTCCTCCTTCTTATCCTTGAAGATAGGAGTGACATTTGCTT